GGGTGGGTGGGTGGATGACTGGATGGATGGACGACGGATGGATGAATGAATGAATGCACGGATGCATGGATGGGTGGTGGATGGATGTGTGGGTGGACGAATGTGTGGATGGACAGATGGATGGGCAGATGGGTGGATGGAGGGATGGATAGGTGAATGGCTGGACGGATGGGTAGATGCATGGATGGATGGATGGATGGATGGGTGGATGGGTGGATGGATGGATGGATGGACAGGCGGATGGGTGGATGGACATGTGGATGGATGGATGGACGTGTAGATGGATGGATGGACAGATGGATGGATGAACGGATGGATGGATGGATGTGGGGATGGATGGATGGATGGATGAATCTGTAGCTGAATGTGTGGGTGGATGGGTGAATGGATGGATAGATGTGAAGGGATGGGTGGATGGATGGACGGATGGGTGGATGGCTGACGGATGATGGATGGATGGGTGGCTGGATGGATGGGTTTGGGATGGGTGGATGGATGGATAGATGTGAAGGGATGGATGGACGGATGTGTGGATGGATGGACGGATGGGTGGATGGCTGACGGATGATGGATGGATGGGTGGCTGGATGGATGGGTTTGGGATGGTGGATGGATGGACTGATGGGTAGCTGGATGAACGAATGGATGAGTCTGTGGATGGATGAGTGGGTGGATGGACAGAGAGATGGATGGATGGATGTGTGGACGGCTGGAGGTACAGACGGATGGGTGGTTGGATGGATGGGTTTGGGATGTGTGGATGGATGAGTAGATGCGGGGGTGGAGCTGCCAGCTGTACCCAGGACTGGGAAGGGATCAGGGGAGGTCACGAGTCTAGGGGAAGCAGGGTGCCAGTGGGGTAAAGGTGGAGCCAGGCTGTGAGAGGAAGGAAGCTGCAGGAAAACGCCTAGGAGGGATAGAGGCAGCTGGAAAGGAATCCAAGGTACAGAGAGAGGCAGTGTTGACATGACCTGGGGCCAGCACAGAGTGGGGGCACCAGGGCAGGGCAGGGCTTCCATGGGCTTTCAGGGGTGGGTCCGGCTGTGGCGACTAGTGGGAAAGAAACTCCAACCCAGTCCCAGAAGGTTGGTAAGGGCTGGGCCTCTACCCACTCCCCTCAGAAGGGCCACAGAGAGATTCCTGGGGAGGGTGGCGATGCCACCTGAGCCTGGACCCTGCCTCAACCCTAGCACTGAGGTGTGGAGCCCGGATCCGTGCTGGAGGCTGTCCCAAGGGGGACAAGTGCCCTCACATCCAATTTGCTCTTTTCCAACCCTCAGCTCTCCTCTTCCTCAAGGTGAATCCCACCTCCTCCAGGTAGCATCCGTCCGTCCTCCATCCATCCTCCATCCATCCACCTAGCGCCCCTCGACCACCCCCACCCTCTCCCCTCCCTTGGAATGGTTTGGGTCAATGTGGGCAGTGAAACTGTCCCTGGGGATGTCCCTGCAGGCCTCGGGGGCTTGGGTCGCCACCCAGCACCGCCCAGCACAGGGCAGGAGAGAAATGTGAGAGACAGAGGGAACCGGCAAGGGAGAGGCCTCAAGCAGGGGCAGAATCCCAGGTGCAGGGTTCCAGGCCACCCCCAACCCAGCCTGGCCCTGAGTGCAGGGCTCCCTCCTCCCCACAGCGCATCCACCACCAAGGTCTGCAGGGTCCCGAGGGCAGCCCTGAGTGCTGTCAGTGGTACCCCCAGCCCCTCTGCCCCATGGTGGAGTGGGCACAAGCAGGTCCTTCTGACTGAGGAGGCTGTTGAGAAGGGCCCGGACAGGGGTCTCCCAGCATCCTGGGCACCAACCTCCCCCTCCTCACAAGCTCAGGAACCCTAAAAGTCAGAGGCCAGTGCCCTGGGCACAGATGGCACAGGCCCAGGCCCTAGGGGGACGTGGGAGTACCAGGGATGCCAATCTTGGGGGGGAGTGAGTCCCCAGGTGGGAGCAGCCCTGCGCCCCCATCTCCAGCAAGGACTCTGGCTTCCAGAACCTTCCAGAGGAAGTCCAGCCCCCCAGGGTTGAGGGGACGCTGCCTAGGGTGGGTGGTAAAGACACTTCACTTTTGCTTTGCAAAAGCCCCCCAGGGTTCCTGCTCCCAGCACCCCATCTCTGAGAACTTGGTGCCCAAAGTGGTCCCAGAGGCCCCACCAGGCGTCAGGTGTGGTCATCCCTGCTGAGAGCCCTGTGGGGTGGGGAAGGCATCCACCCCCCTGAAGCCTGCCCCCCACCCCCTGCCCTGCCCCTCCCAGGTTTCAGCCCCGCCCTCCCACACTCTGGTACCCAAGCAAAAGAGCAGAGAATCAGAAAATCGTAATTTTAAATGCTTTATTGGGATTGCGAGCGTTACAGGTTAAAGACAAAACCCAGGCACTGGATTTTGCCAGAAATATCAGCATGTTAGGGGGCTGAGTTGAGTCCAACACCGGCCGCACGATGGGCTGGGCGGCAGACACAGGTGACACTGGGTGTTTGGCGCGTGGGGGGTCTTCAGGTGATGACCAGGGCGGGACCCAAGAGGGGGTCCCGCTGAAGACGCTGGGGGTGCGGGGGTGGAGACACAACGGGCAAGATGGAAGGCCACAGCCAGGCACGGGGTCGGACGGGGGCCCGGGTCAGGGTGACCAGTGACCCAGGGAGAGCTGCGCACGTGGGGACACAGAGGGCGGCGGCAGGCGCCCCGGAGCACCCATCCCGGCGAGGCAGAGTGTAACACTGGGTGGGTGGGTGTCCGGTCGAATGGGCGGGC